AAAAAAAAAAAAAAAACCCAGTAGCAATCAATTCAAAGTTACAGGGTACATTATATCAGTTTTCAAAGAATCAAATGTATCTCTAAATATTAGGAAGACAGAAAATACGGCACAAAGGGCTTCTATTTACAATAGAATGAAAACAAATTACACTCAAGGTTTACTGTGTGCAGCGTACAGTAATTATTAAAGTTAAAAGTATAATAAGAGAAATAAAGAAAAACATAAATTCATGGAAAGCTAAACTTGACTGCCATTTGGGAAGGCAGAATGTAGTAAAGATAAAAATAAGTTACTAGGAAAGAGTCAATTCAGTATCAATTAAAATCCTTGCTGTATTTTTGTAAAACATGACATATTGGTTGTGACATTCAGCTGCAAGAGTAATCAGGCAAGAATCTCAGAGGTTTTTTCCTCAGTAATTATGAAGCAAATGAATAGATCACTGATGCTAACATATTTACCCCAGTAGATTTTAAAACACATCAGACCCAAGTGACAATTATCAAAACCTTGTAGCATTAAGATAAAACCTGAAAACTCATCATTCATTCAACATGTATTCAGGGACTATTTGTGGACCGGCTGCCCTGTGCCAAGCACTGTTCTAGGAGCCGGGTATGCAGCCGTGAAAAAGCCAGGGAAGGTCCCTAGGGTCATGGAGAACCAGACAAATCAACAAGACAAGTCAATCAGACAAGTCAACAGTTAATGGGCAGGATAATTTCACAGGGAGAGAAGTGTTGTGAAGACTGGAAGTGATGGAGTGGGGTCTGGCTCGGGAGGGCTGCTTTGGATTTAACAATGAGAGAAGGCCTCTCTGAAGAGGTGGACTTTTGAGCTAAGATCTCTAGAACAAAATGAGCGTTCTAAAAATAATTTCAATTGATTGTATCTCCTTAAAGTTGGTTTTGGGAACTCCCCCATGTGCAAGACTGAGCTAAGTGTTATGGTCACATAGATGACGCACAGAAAAATATAGGAATTTTAACTTTAATTCTAACTTTGTTCTTAAGAATTTTATGATCTACATTCAACATAAAGACTGGGAGAGGGCCGGGCGCGGTGGCTCAAGCCTGTAATCCCAGCACTTTGGGAGGCCGAGGCGGGTGGATCATGAGGTCAAGAGATCGAGACCATCCTGGTCAACATGGTGAAACCCCGTCTCTACCA